AACAGGCTCAGTGGGAGAGCTTCTGTGCAAAGTGTCATGTTGGGCTCTGACACAGTCTTTAATGGGACAGCTTGGTGTTTGAAACAAGATATTCCTTATGAGATGAGCCTCCAAGCTTGAGCCAGGGCTGTGGAACTGGAACAGGCTTGTGCCTGCTGGGAATAATAGTGACCCTGTAGATATGAAGAGTTATTCTGTTGTTCAAAAGAGCAGGAGAGATGCCCTTCTGGCTCCCCAGAACGCAGACTGAGACCTCTCCCATCATCTCACCCTCCTTGGGCACCTACAAAGGTAAAAAAATACCTGGTTTCTTGGTTACTCGTACTACTGTGCTGCTGAGATTTGGTAGAATCTGTAGAATTGGACTCAGAGTAGTTCACAGATGAGGGGGAGGAGGAGGAGGAGGATGAAGACGATGAACTCAGCGTTGGGTATTTACTGTGACTCTGTTTGCTTTTTGTAGACATGACGCCATTGCTACAGGTTGGACTATCTGCTCCTGCAAGTCAAGAAGAAAGGGAGAAGTGAGACCAGACTGACAATATCGCCCTACTGTGAAGTCAACAGTTCAGCAAGAGGGCAGGCCCCAAGGGAAGGAAGCAAAGTAAGACTGCAGATCTTAAACTACGATTCAGCGGGTTTCGAGAAAACGCAAACGAATACGGAAGGAACCTCACTGCTCAGCAGCAACATCTGAGCTTAAGGAAGTTCTAGAAACAGGCTGTAAAGAAGAGACCAGCTCACACAAGTACAGAGATTATTGTTGAACTACAAAGCACAGATGGTTTGTAAAGTTTATGAACTCTCTTCTCACAAACCCAAATACTTCTCATAAACCCTCTACCCAGGAAAACTATGAAAGCACAGGTGAAAAATGGGCCACAAGAACTCTTTGCAAGCAGGACTTCCCAGGCTTTCCACAACCTGACTTACATCAGGTGTATACTTGGTTCACACACCACTCAGCAAATAACAACGATTCTCTTAAAAATCACAAGCTAACCCTCCTCGTTCCGGAGAACAGACATCGCTGAAAGGAGATTCAGGCTTAAAATCCCATCTGGTCTCCCGCAAAAGGTGCCCACCGAGCTGTGCAACTCGCTGACACAGGACACAAACCTTCGGTCATTACCACAAGTTTTGTAGGGCTTCAAAAAATGACTGGCTAAACTTACAGGGGCTACTTAATATCAAGACAACTGCAAATCACAGAATCCCAGAATGTCAGGGATTGGAAGGGACCTCAAAGGATCATCGAGTCCAATCCCCCTGCCGGAGCAGGACCACCTAGATCAGATCACACAAGAACGCGTCCAGGCGGGTTTGGAACATCTCCAGAGAAGGAGACTCCACAACCTCTCTGGGCAGCCTGTTCCAGTGTTCTGTTCCCCTTACTGGGAAGAAGTTCTTCCTCATGTTTAAGCGGAACCTCCTATGTTCCAGCTTATATCCATTTCCCCTTGTCCTGTCATTGGATGCCACTGAGAAGAGCCTGGCTCCATCCTCATGACAGTCACCCTTCCCATATTTGTAAACATTAATGAGGTCCCCCCTCAGTCTCCTCTTCTCCAAGCTAAAGAGACCCAGCTCCCTCAGCCTTTCCTCATAAGGGAGATGCTCCACTCCCTTCATCATCTTTGTGGCCCTGTGCTGGACTCTCTCCAGCAGTTCCTTGTCCTTCTTGAACTGAGGGGCCCAGAACTGGACACAATATTCCAGAAAAATCATTAGGGGCTCAAATAATATTTCAGAAAAAGCTCACTATGGGCTTGTCTTCTTCGTATCTTCTTCCTTAGGCAACCAATATTGACTACAGGGTCTTGGCCAGACGTGACCTGGCACGGCTGTTCCTCCAGAAGTGATGGTGACATATCCAAATTCATCAGCTGATCCCACAGTTAGATTTACAGGTAGGCAATTTATTTAGACTTTTATCACGACAACGCAAAAGTTCAAACAATGGGCCGTTTCGTGGGTTTTGATGACAAAGACGCAGCAGACTGTGCACAACAGTTCTGCTTAATCTTTGAAACACGCCCTGATGAAGTGATCACTATTTTGAAAGCAGAAGGTTTGACAAAAAGAACTGTGGAAGGTGTTGTCCCGTGTATGGAGACAAATATATTGCAGGGTTTGTGGTTTTTATGTAGGCATCTCCCAGTTGAAAACAGGTATTACCGTTATTTTATGGACCGATGGGAGCGTCCTGACTATCCAGTGAGAGGAACATAGCCAGGGCTTCTCGCAACACAACACAGGAGAACAAAGATACTGGGTTGGGAAGGTGAGTGACAGCTTGGAGGTAATTCAAGTAATTGTCTTTCTTTCCCTTAGATGTTTCCCTGTCCACAGTTTGTCACATGCCAAAGTTTCATTTCCCAAACTGCAAAGAGTTGATGCTTTGGAGATAGGTTTGGCAGGTGCAGAACCATCCCCTTCTCACACGATTAGAGCTTGCAAGGCAGAGTCCAGGGGAGAAGGAGAAGCTCTCACGCAAGACATCCCCCTAACCTCTCCCTCAGTTGGCCAGAACAGCACATCTTCTGCTCGGTGCTCACTGGAAAGCAACTCTTTTGCAGACTCCAAGGCACAGGACACAGGCTTTGTGTCCTCCAAGACCTCCTCCAAGAGCCTGGTCGGTGAAACACCGCATCACTAGTGGCTGCACTAGAGGGCCACCTCCAAAAGCTGCTTTATTTTGAAAAAAACCTGCTCTGCCGACAATCGTCTGTGAAAAATAACTCTTGCAAAAACAGTTCCCTAACAGCATGGACACCCCCACGGTAACAGCATGTCCCCTCTGGTGGGCATGAGAAAGGAAAGGACAATTTCAGAGAAGAACGTACAGAAAGCAGCAGGTGACGTAACACACGACCACGTCCACCTTGGAGATTTGCTCTTCTCACCAGGAGACACAGAAAACCCACTCACCAGTACTGTGAACGTGCGAGTTGCTTGATCCGTGTCTAGGACTTAAGCTGGGGGAGCCGGGGTAACTGTCCTGGGATCTGGGGCTGCGGGCGCTGAAGCAACGTACTTCACTGTCTGTCCCGTTCACCATCTCCACAAACTGCCGGCACCTGATTTCATGGGAGGCAACAAGGAGAGAAGGGGGCGTGACAGCCGGGATGCTCTGCACGGAGGGCTTTTTAGTGACATTTCTTGGCTTTGAAAAAGGCATTTCAGACTCCAGGTACCTTTGGGTTGTGAGTGCTCTGATAATGCTATGGGAGGGAGGAGTTCAGAAACGGCAGCTTTGATGCTGAACAATGTTGAGATACTTCCAAAAAGCAAGTTTATTTCCCTTTTCCACACATCTACCTTTCTAGGAACCTTCACAGTGACTGCCACATGCTCCAGAGCTCTAAGATCCCCACAGGACAAGTTAAGGCCATCTGTGAAGGAGCTTATGGCAGTGAGCAGAGCTAAAATTTCACCCACCTCTGCCTGACCTCATGAGGCAAAGCCATATCAGGTCTGAGCAGCAACAAAAGGGCCACATCTACATTGCTACAAGCACTGTGCAAAGGACTGAACCTATGTCATAGAATCACAGAATGGTTTGGGTTGGAAGGGACCTCAAAGATCACCCAGTTACCACCCCCCTGCCATGGGCAGGGACACCTTCCACTACACCAGGTTGCTCAAAGCCTCATCCAACCTGGCCTTGAACACTGCCAGGGATGGGGCAGCCACAGCTTCTCTGGGCAACCTGTGCCAGTGCCTCACCACCCTCAGAGTTAAAAATTCCTTCCTTAGATCTCATCTAAATCTCTCCTCTTTCAGTTTAAAGCCATTGCCCCTTGTCCTGTCACTACACACCCTTGTCCAAAGCCCCTCTCCAGCTTTCTTGTAGCCCCTTTAGGCACTGGAAGGTGCTGGAAGGTCTCCTGGAGCCTTCTCTTCTCCAGGCTGAACAGCCCCAACTCTCTCAGCCTGTCTCCATAGCAGAGATGCTCCTGCCCTCAGAGCATCTCCTCTGGCCCCGCTCCAACAGCTCCATGTCCTTCTGATGTTGGAGGCCCCAGAGCTGAACGTAGGGTCTCACAAGAGCAGGGTAGTCCTCTCCCACCTGCTCCCAAAGGGATCTCAAACAGTTTGAATTCAGACCTAGGTGTGCAGCCAGACTGGATGGCTGGACAGCTTCTCTCTTCCCTCCTTCATCTACACATTTCAGCATTAGGGAGTATAAAGCCATTCATACTTACTTTAACATGAAGAGCAGGTTGGGGTTATGTTCTAGGAGGCCAGGATAGAGTTGCTGGGTGGCTTCTATAGCCTCTCCCACTCTGCCTGCTAATACTAGCTTCTGTATTCCTGAAAGCAAAAGGAGACCCATTGACACACAGATCAGCCAACAAGAATGGCCAGAAGAGTCATCTCACATACGCCGCACAGCCCCCCGCCACCACCTTGCACAAGGGCTAAGGAGAACTGGGGACCACGTTCTGTTTATTATGGATTAGGATGAGGAAAAGTGTGTGAAAACGAGGGAGAATCTGTCAGTCACTCAGAAACACCAAGAGTAGAAGGATCTGAAGGATGAAGTGGGTGTGTTGGGGTGGGGTGCTCCAGAACTTTAGTCCTTTCTCATCACAGAGCTATGCAGCAATGGAGAAGAAAGCAGGACACAACAGTAGGATGGGAGCAAGGAGGCTGCCAGGGAAACAACAATTTCAGAGTGGAAATCCCTAAGTCACTCCCACATTACATTCTCTGGCTGGTCCATGCTTGGAAGCTTACTATATGGCTGACCACCAGATGAGCAGAGTCTTCTCAGAGGGTCTGGGGGCTTAAACCGCAGCACAGCACTGCTTCCCTGCTATCCCCACCTCTAAACAGAAGTAATTATACCAACAAAACTGGGTTCCTGCACGTCCCACCTCAATGTCTTCCCAGAGAAGTAACCTGAGCCACAACGAGGAGGTGGTACCTGTCAAGTAGCTCCAGAATCAGCTATTGGCGAAGCTAGAAGGAGCTCAACGAGTTGTACACTTCTAGGAGGTGCAACGACACAAGGCAGAAGCCACCTATCACCCTGGGTGTTCGTGTCCCGGGTATGTTCCTTCGGTGGGTCAGAAGACACAAGTGCAAGACTCAACGCAGTCACCGATCTGATCCCACAACGCTCAGGGAAGCTCCTGTCTCTAGAGCTTCACGTTTATTTTTTTTTTCTAAGCGCACTTAAATTAAAAACTAAACGTCCTTAAAACTAAAACCGCACTGCACTTCCCTCTCTGTTTTTCCAGGACTCCTTAAGGAACAACAGAGAGGAGGTTTTGGATCGCCTGCGAGGTGCTTTGCAAGCAGAGGCTCTAGGAACAGCAGGCTGGGACTTTGGCAAGTCACGAGCAGCTGGACGCCCAGCCCGGTGATCCTCATTAGCAAACCCCAGCGCCAGCCTGCAGCGACTTGTCTTGGCTCCCACTCCTCAGGGTCGATCTGCTCGTCATCATGGCCGAAAGCTGAACCCGGAGAGGCGGCTCTCACACCGACGTGTGTTGCACAGTCTCCTTCAGTTCGCTCGCTGGTTCTTCTACTTGCACGTTTCACATCTCGCTGCTTTTGACAGCTCTTCTCTGCCTTCTTCAGCAGCTCTCACAGATCACAGAATCATAGAACCACAGAATGGTTTGGGTTGGAAGGGACCTCAAAGATCAT